TCTAAGTTACCCCTCTGAAGGAAAGAGCCAGGTTATATTGTTTTAAAAGCTTTTTAAGGAATTTTCCATAGAGACTCAAAAATACCAAGGCTATATGTAGAAATGGTAAAAAAAACAGATGGCAGATACATATGAAAACACATATATTATGATATGATGACATATAATAAGAAGATACTTCACTAGAAAAAGCCCCCAAATTCTTGTACAAATCGTAGTATCAACATTCTTCATAGACATGAGACATTCTTATGTGTGGGGGCACAAACACCTGGGCCCCAACAATTCCAGTTTAGGCCTCCAGGAGGTTTTCTTCCCATAACTCTCTCTTCAGAGAAGTCTTTCTTCTACCTGCCTAGAACGGCATGTGGCTGTGTAAAAGACACACTCCTTCAGGAGACCTCAGATAAAGCTCACTCAAGCAAAAAACCTTTCTCTGCTGGCTCCAGGCATTTCTGGTTCATGAGAATTATGAAGTGTACCCAAGGATTGCATTTTGGGGCTGAGGCAGAAAAAGGGAACAAGGAAATGGATTTTTGGATCAAAACACTATAGATTGAAGGAAAGAAGTGACATGCATCTAAGGCTATAAGCTTTAAAGTGTACTGCACATTTTGTTCCTTTCCTCTTTGTTACTTTATTTAAGAAAGACTTTTTTTTTCTATTTTAAAAGCAATAACCAAGTTTTCATTTTCCTGTTCATTTGCAATGGTTCAGCATTGGTAAATACATATGGTAAACTGATCATAATTAAGCTTAAAGTATTGGCATAAATTTATCAATGATAATAATAACAATAAGTCTAGCACAATAATAATTTTTGTATCATGTTTGCTTTGCCAACATTTGGACTCAATACTTATAGTAAGCTATGAAAACATTTATTTCATATGGTGGCTGAACAGCATTATCAATGACAAATATTCACTGAATGCCTAGACATTCCATATTAAGGACAAATCACAACGTGTGAAGATGGTTTAAAGAACACTATCAAATTTGGGACTTAACATTTAGGAGAAAAAAAAACAAACCTCACTGCTTTTGCATTTAAGTTGACAAACTTTTGGCTAGAGTCAAGACTTATATAGGGTCATTACATTTCCAATTGGGAATTAATGTTTTATTTCATCAATGTAAAATTTTATAACACCTTTTCATCAAAGAATTTCATCATGTTCTATAAATAAGCACTATGTAGAACCTTCCTTTGATGAGAGGAACAAAGGAATACAGGTGAACCCAAAGCATTAGGAGTTCAGAGATCACTGATAAAGATGCTAGTTTTCCAGACACTTTCAAGCTAGTATTCAAGTCTTATACATTACATACTACCCCCTACCTGGACTTTTAAGAACTTTCTTTTAGAAAATTACTGAAGATTGAAAATAAATTATTGAAAGGAAATAATTCAGTTACATAAATCATATTTTGCACCTTTATAATGTGACAAAGATCTCTTTAAACCCAAATACAGTAGACTCTCTGTTATCCAACATTCTATGAATAAACATTTCTATATCAATGCCTGCTTTTGTAATGTTGACCCTGAACTTTGTGTGTTTCCCAAATCATCCAAAAGGTTAAATTACATTTATGTAGTTTTAGTTCTAATTACATTGTATTTGAAATCTTCAAAAATTAGTGGTGTGGTTTATCTGGAAACTTAATTGCCATAATAATATAATAATATTATGGCAACCATTAATTCTCAAAATAATATAGATTTACAGTTAGAATAGGGCATCCTATTCTCAAACCATGATGGAAAGCAGAGAACCTACCACATTTAATAATCCATGAAAAAAAGTCTTTTTCTGTAACTATAGCTTCTTTATCTAGCCAATCAATTACTTTTCAGTTAGATGACATTATTTTTCGTATAACAGCATTGTCATTTTGTCTTTATCAATAGGTGAGGTAAGAGTCCACTGAGAGTCACCTGTGACACTGTGTGACCTTTGGCAAGTCACTTAACCTCCTTCAGTCTCAGTTTCCTCGACTATAAAATAACTGTTGGACAAGATGGTCTCTGAGGTCCTGTCTACCACAAGATTCATGTCCCTATATCCCTTTGACATGAATACTTGAATAAGAAATGATTGTGTCTGTTGTGGTCTGTGATGATTAGCACAATCCTATCTAATCCTGACAGTTATTCATGACGTCAAAAATACAGTAGATTTGATGGGACTAAAATGCTGGATTCTTGAAAATTACTACTTTCGTGTTTTGGGTAGAAAAATGACATTTGTGACTCATAATTCTTCAAGTTGAATTTACGCACATTAAAATTTAGTGTTTGAAATTCCCAGAGGGGACACATCAGCTGACATGCTAATTTTAATCTTAAAATATTATAGAAATGACTGACTGGGGTGGAAAACTTATCCCTAAATGTTTACCAGCTGCTGGAAAGCAGCATCTTCCTGGATTTTCCCTGGTAAGCCCAGTTGTCTCATTACACCTACATGTGATTGTTATTTTCTAACAGAGCTATTTCTTGGAGGAGCAAGTCCTGTAGTACTAGGAAAAGATGAAGTTTTATCGATAAACATTGTTTATCGTTAAAAATGGCTTTTGGATTAAATACAAAAAACCCTGGTCTGGTAGGAACCCTGTCACTTTACTTTGTGAGTATTGTTATAGGGATAACAGTCGCTGCATTACATACCTATTGGCAAAGGTTAAAATACTGACATTACCAGTGATTGGTTGTGGACAGACTGAAGCTACCTGCATAACTGTTTGGTCATTTTAAAGGGATTTTTGGGTCAAACAGATACATCAAATTAGCAAGACTGATATTTTAAAGAAAGCAACTTAATCAATTATTTAGCTGAAATCAAATTAGTCCAATTAAAATGAAATATGAATGTTGAAAATTAACATTTTTTTTTGCTATGGTCTCCTTCTTTGTAGTCTGAAGACCAGTGTTCAAAACCTGGCTTACTGATAATTATCTGTATGACCTTGGGTAAATCACTTCACTTTTTTGATCCTTAGTTTCCAAAATGAAGACATTGGCCTAGATGACTTATAAGATCCCTTCCAGCTCAAAATTTATGAACTAGATGGAAATAGCCAATGAAAAATGGTTTCCTTGGAAAGCTTCTAGTTCTTGGCAAACTATTTTTAGTTTGGTTCTGATATCTTCTTCACCTGATATTCAGAAAACAAACAAACAAACAAACAAACCCATAGCCAGACTCTGGGAACTCCAGGGCTACAAAGCAAGGTGACCTTATAGGAGAAATACATCTTTTTCCATCTAGAGAACAAGCTAATGGGACATGTGGACCCCTTTCTAACTTCCCAAATAACTAAGGAGCATGGGATGCTTTAAAAGAGTCCAGGTCTATAAAAAAGGAAACATCTTCTATATGTAACATACATTTTTCATTACAAAAATATCGAAATAATCCATGAGTTATTCCACTCTGCACCAGCTATAAAAAAAATACTATTAAAATTTGACCTGCACCTTTAATGCAACCAAAAGCACCATGAGGGAGGACATTTCCAACAGAAAAAAAGAGAACATTTACTTGCTGTAGGGAGGTATTTAAAACCCAGAATCTTATTTTTTTGTACAAACAATTCAAACATATCATTAGCTAGATAAAGAGACAAGCCTTCCAGAAGTTCGAAAGGGCTTTTCCCATCACTTATTTCATTGGTTTTGTCTGCTCATACTTACTAATGAGTGGCCCAAAGCCTCTAAAAGACACATCACTTTCAGCTTGGGTTGGGGGAAAAGATAAACCAAACTGTCTGTATATGTGGAGAACGCGATTGTTCTTCCTTGCTTCCTCTTTCCGTAGGGCTCGTGCTACTCGGGTTCTGTCCCTTGGGCATTAGTATCAATCTCGTAGTTCGACAATGTTTGGCACTAGAAGGGTATGGCATGTCATGTACTCTCATCGCACTGCACCTGCATACATTCACACACAGAGCCATGCATTCTGCGTCCTGAAACAAATTCAAGTTACGGCATTTTAATCTCCAGATGCTTGTCCCTTTACAATGCAAAAACATGGTCTCCAGAAGCCTGGAAAACCCATGCTTTGATTTTGCCATTTTTTCCTGCCTTCCTTCCTTTTATTCTCTCTCTTACTCTTTTTTTTTGCAATTAAATACTGAATCATGATTATCATTTAATTTACATCACTAAGTTCTTAGAGCTCCTTGGTCTTGTTGAAAGCCATAAATGTGCTGCATAGGATTTCTGTCAAAAAGGATGCTGTCAACTGAAAATCTTAATGAAAATAAACCCTGAATTTCATAGAAAACTAACCATTCCATCAATATTAACACTTGTGCAAGTGCACTTTCATTTGCTGTCCGCTGGTAGGCTGACATACATGGTAGTTTTTTTTTTCCAAATGAGAAAATATTTACCAATTTAAAAAAAAAAGAACGTTTCTTTTTCTGGAGTCTTGAGGAAATATATTTTCTCATTTTGTTCCTGTGAAAAACAGAGCTTTATATTGACAAACTACCTAAACCATTTTGACAGAAGATTGGTGTGTGTGTGTGTGTGTGTGTGTGTGTGTGTGTGTGTGTAGCGGGTGTATAGTGTGTGTTGTATATATGTGTGTGTGTGTTATACAGATCATGATTGAATATGTCTTTATGCAAAGATCAGGTAAACCCATTAAAATGCCCTATTAGTTGGAGGCAGCATGTACACATTAAACTCTTCCTGTAGTTTTGATTGAAAGCTCTGTGCAGGAGTTTGATAGGAACAAAGAGTCAAGAGCTGGGGATCTGCTCCCCAGCTGAAGGAACTGAGACTCTCAGGGGCTGCTTCTCTGAAAATGGTATTACAGCCACCAGTCTGCAGCCTGTGGATCAAATGATAATCATGATGACAGCCAGACTAAGACCTTTACAGCTCCTTGCTCTACTTTACAATAGAGTATAGTTATTGCCACAGCCCTGCTGTCAACCCTTAATCTGGACTGTAACGTCATGGCTCCTTCAAGACTTTCAGTTTTCTATAAAGTAGTTTCGTACTCCAGCCGCTCCTGAATAAGAGCATCGTCTTTGTACTGTAGCCTCGGAGGAGCAGGGGAACATTCAAAAGCTAATATGGCCTTCCGTAGGCTTCTGTCCAACACGTGTCTCTCCCAGGCTGGGTATCTATTCCTGAACAGGTCAATTTTAATGACTGACTCTTCAATCCTTGGTGGTCGGGAGGATGGGGTGGAAGGAGCAGTTGGCCTCACCTGAAATACAGGCACACACCCATCCCGCTCTGCAAACTTCTGATCCCGATCACTGGCAACGCTGCGGTTATTGGAAATGGACCTTAGAGTGCTCGTGGCCACTTCTGGGGGAAGAGTGAAGGCTGCTATCGGGTCCTCACAAGCACAGCTTGGTGACTGCCCAAAACGGGGTCCGTTGGGGTGAAAGAAGGCATAATACATCAGCATAAAAACAATGCCTGTTAAAAAGCTGCTGAATACCACACACAGCGCTGGTATGGCAAATGCATCTGCAATCTGGGGAGCCTTGTATAGGTACCAGAGGGCACTCAAGGCAGTATTTTCCAAAAGAATCACAAAATAGTAAATGAAGAGACGGCAACGTGTCCTGCCTTCCTTCACATTGAACCAGCTAAAGATATAGATGATCCCAACCACCATGTCGAAGACAATCTCCTCCCATTTTGTGATGCAGAATTCCGTCTCACAGTGGACGATCCAGAAGGTCATGATGCACCAGTGAAGGACAATGAAGATCCCAAAGTAGAGCTGGAAAACAGAGGCAAAGAGGGCAAAGGTGATGACCCTGGCGGCGATGGTGAAGAAATGCCAGCAAAATTGGATGATGACAGCCATGTAGCTGATGGGTTTCTTGTCATCACGGGAGTCCCGAAGGGCTTTCTGGTAGGAGGCCAAGGCCCAAGCCAAGGACACAAGGGAGGCCGCAGCAGTGAGACCTGGAAAAACAAACAGAACAGCGATTTAGAGAAAGGAACATGAACTGAGTGGTGGGAGTTAACAAAGTCTCCTGAGAAACATGCCAGACTGGAATTTGGAAGAATAGAATTTGGACCTGCTGCAGCCTAGCTAGGATGTGTGGACTCCTCTGCTGTATCAGCTTTTCTAAAAGGTTGATGATATATTCTTTCTCTGTTCCTATCTCCCAGAGATGTCATGAAGTGGAATGCTATATGAAGATAGGAGAGAGAACATTCCAGGCATAGGGAACAACACAAATGAAGACACACAAGGGGGACAAAGAGCAGTCCAGTTGACTGGAGGATAGAGCACAAGGAAAGAAGTAATATGAAGTTATCCTGGAATGCAAGGCTGGGACCAGATTGTAGAGGGTATGTATTTGCAGGCAGAGAGCTCCTAATGAAAATAGCTGGCATTAATGCAGCATTTTAAGGTTCACAAAACACTCTATGTAAGTTAGCTCATTTGATCCTAAAAGAAAATGCTAACTAGGGTCTACACAGCACAGAGAAAAGTGGGAATAGTGTGAAGAGAATTTTCCCTCCCTTTTCCAACCCATACTCTATTCTGTTTCTGAAGTGATTTTCCCAAAGTTTGGGTTTGAACATACCACTCCCCTGATCAATAAATTCTAGTAGCTCCCTCTTACCTCCTCTGTAAGCCTTCTTAGACTTAACTCTTCTCACTGTACTCTAGGATCCAATTAGAATGGATGACTTACCTTTCTTTCTATGCAATACTTCATGCCTCATCTCCTTGCCTTTGTGTGGGCTGCCCTTCCAAGTCTGAAACACTCTCCCTTCTTCCCTCTGTTTCTTAGATTTCCTGGCTTCCTCCAAGACTCAGCTAAAGTCTCTTTCCTGATGGTCCTCCTGACCCCAACCCTTGCCCCACTTGTGTCTTTAATCCATATCTGGCACTTCCCTCTTTTCCATTCCTTCGTCATTTTTGTTGATTTCTGCTGGTGAAGTTAATGTTTAATCCAATGGATTTTTCATTAGGAGCTGCCTCACTGACCCCTTGACCTAGAATACATGTTGTTCCCGGAAATTTTTTTTAAACATACCTTGTTTTCTTGAATGGCAAAAGGCTTTATGTTTTTACTTGTACAGATGGCTACTCAGTTCTAAAATCAGATTTTGAGTATCACCAGATCTGGGGCTTATAGGAGTTACAATCCATTTCCCCTTTTCACAAATAGTAGCAACCCTTAGTGACAACTCATATACCTCATGATGGAATGAAGGCTTTAAAAACATCTCTAGACAATAAAAAGGTTGTTGCCTGTAATCCTAAAAAAATGAATTTTAAAATAAATAGTCCCTGTGGGAATCATGCTACTTGAGAGAGAAACAAAACAAAACAAAACAAAACAAAACAATTTTTGAAGATCATTCAGAGTACTTCTTTTATTTGGAAACCTTCAGTAGGTTAAATTGCCTGAATAATAGTTACTGACAAAGCACATACTTTCCAATAACATCTTCCCAAACCCACCCTTAACAAGCCCATTTTTTCCTGCTCCTCCCCTTGCAAAAAATCTTATGACAAGATCTTCAGTTTCTTTCTGTCAATTGTGAAATCATTCAAAACAGCATCTTCACAGACTTTTAGGAAAATATTTATAGGTCAACTTTTTAGTCAAAGACTAGTACGCAAAATAGGCCAGTAGTTGGATGTAAATTAATTTCTAGAAGGTGGAAAATATCCAAAGGTTTTATAAAATATGCATAGATACAAAAAAGCAAAAAGAACAGAAAAAGTAAAATAGAGCAGAGAGGGCAAAAAGTGGAAAAAATGACAAGGAAAAGAAAGTTAATAATAAAACATAACAATGGCTTACGTTTGTATAGTGCCCTCAGGTTTGCAGAGCTCTGTAAATTTGTTGTCTCATTTGGTCTTCCTAACAACCATATGAGACAGATGCTAATATTATCCCATTTTGCAGGTAGGAAAACTGAGGCTCAGCAAGTGACTCGTCAAAGGTCATGCAAGTAGTGAATGGGTTTGAACACAGATCTTCCTAACTCTGGGTACACTGCAGCAGAAGATGAAGGTGCTTAGGTGAAGCACAAGTGAGAGAAAGGTGAGTGACAGAGAGTAATGTATTTTGTTTTAACGTCATCAAAGAATTCATAGATGTCACATAAAGATCATTGGTTGGAGCATACCTCCTATTGCTCAAAAACCTTCAGTGGCTCCCTATTGCCTCTGGAATAAGGGTTAAGCAGTTTAGCGCTGGCAGTACAAGTCCTCTACTATCTGGTGCCATCCCAGCTTTCCTGTCTTATTAGTCCCGTCCTTGTACTCTATGCTCCAGTCAAACTGCATCGCTGTATGTATGACCCTCTAAAATGGGCTCTACTCTTACCTACCCTGTGTCTGTTGAATTCCACTCCATCCTTTAAAATTCAATTCAAATGCTGTCTCCTCCCTGATGTTTGCCTGGTCCTATCCAATCCCCTCTCCCCCCTCGTGATGGTGATGACGTTTCCCCTCTGATATCAAAAAACATTTTGATTGTAGGTCTTTAATGTTCTCGTCGCATAATATTATATTATCTGCTATAGATTGTAAACTGCATGAGGACAGGGGCTTTGTCATATCTAAACTTTCTATATTCTCTTGAAACTAACATGGTCCTCCAAACATAATGGGTGCTAGATAAATATTTGTTGTTTTCAGATGCATTTCAATCTGTATATGTATGTAGTATGATAACTAATGTACTATGATTCATAAACTGGCAGATAGATTATGCCCCCACTTATATTCTTTTCTTAAATCTAGTAGTCTGAGAAAACAAACTTGGGCTTACTGGCCTCGTCAGGGGCTATTAGGACATCTACAGAGTGTTTTTGTGGGAATAGGAAAAATGTGCTTGTGTTTACTCTATGTTCCATGAGTTCTCAAAAAGAAAAAAGCCATAACCCTTTTGGCATGCTAAGCAATTAACTACAGTTGTGCTATTAGAAATGATGAGCTCAATGATCTTAGAAAAACATGGAAAGGCTTGCACAAAATAATGAAAAGCAAAATGAACAGAACCAAGAGAACATCGTACACCATGACAGCAACATAGTTTTAAGAATGACTTTGAGCGAATGAATTATTCTGATTGTTGTAAATACCCAAATTAACTATAAAGGACATATGAAGAAAGATGCTATCTGCATCTAGAGAAAGAACTGATAAGTAGAAGTATGTATAGAATAATTTTACACACACATACACATATACATACAAACATGTGTATATGTGTATATATGTATATACATATATCTACATCTAACCTATATAGATATACATACACATATTTTTGTCTAATGGTGAACATCTCTAGGGTGGGGAGAAGGAGGGAAGACAAAAAAAGAAAAAAAGAAATTTGCATAATAATTTTGTTGTGTATTTAAAATGAATAGCAAGTTATACATAATAGTTTTGTAGATTCTTGTGCAATCATTTTTTAAATCATACTATGTTATAGAAATGCTTATTTTATTCCATAAATTAAAAATAAAATAAATTCAACAAAAAACAAAAAATTGAGGTGCATCTGGAATTCTGATTTCAACAGTGCAGGGATTCCTGATGCATAAATTTCTTCCACTGATGCAGTTTGGACATCCTTCTGTAAATGACAGTCTTAGAGAGTTGTCTGGTACCCTGAGAGGTTAAGCAGACTTGGATGTGATTGTAGAATTAGAATGTGGCAGAGGCAGAATTTGAGTGGTCATCTTCTCTATCTTCTTGATCTGAGGCTGTCTTTTTGTTACTACACTAGGCTACCTCTCACTATATTGAATACAGTTGCTAATTATTGATGTCTATAGACACTGTGACATAGTGGATAGAAAGTTGATCTTGGAATCAGAAAGACTTGGGATTGTCTTGCTGCTGGTTCATACTAACTGAGTGACTATGGACAAGCCACTTAATCTCTTAGTGATCTAGGAAACAACCCAAGACTGTATGTTAGAGAAGAAGTTGTAGATGTTCATTGATGCAGAGGGAATTTCCATAGTGGGACTCTCTATACTAATAAAATCACAGTTATAATCCCCCTATTTTTAACAGGTTGCTGATTTTACTCACACATACATCAAAATAATTATATCTACATATATCTTTCTCATTTTTTTCCTTTGAATTGAACTGAACCACATAATGTGTAACTTTAAAATGGACTAGTACTTCAAATGCAATATGAAAACAAAGAGAAGACCTGAAATATATATTAAAATGATTTTCTGGAAAGTCATTGTGATTTTACCATCTCTATTAAATAAGTAACCACATGGTTAAAAGGAACCTTGAGAAATCATATCATGACTGTCCAATTCAATTGGAATTCACTATGATCCAAGGAAACAGTGAGCCTTGCATATTCCCATGGGATATTTTAGTAGAGTGGGTGAGTTGCTTGTTTTTCTCTTGCTAAGCTGTGACAGTTAAAGGAGCTCAAATCCCAAATAACTAAGTCAGCCAAACTAGCCAAAGTGTACTTGTTTCAAGATACAGCCTCAGGGAAATTTTCCTTTCATTTGCTGGGAGTCCTGTCAGTCATTTTTGAAGGTGGCATCACAGCATTAGTCAGGGTGAGTCTCTATCTTTGAGATTGTCTTGTGCAACACAATCGCTGACTTGTATGTCTCCTTTCTATTCTGTATATATCTTGTATGAATCTAGTTACTTATATGTTGTCTCCAGCATCGGAGAGTGACTTCTTTGAAGGGAGGGTCTGCTTGTTTTTCTCTTTGATTCTTTAGCATTTAGCATAGTGCCCAAGTATGTGCTTAATAAATATTTTTTGATTGATTGACACATATGCTCACCTGTCCATTCTGACCAACTCAAATAAACTGTCTTGATTCAAGTAATTTTTAAACTAGTGAAATCAAGGAAAATGCTTAAACTAGCTTTCAATTGTAGACACAGCCTAAATCTATAAGGGTTGCTGAAAATAGAAGTTTAAGTC